GTTATAATGGTAAGAAATATTTTTCAGATTAATGTTTTTTCTTTTCATTAAATACTTGTTATAGGAGATGGAATGCCTAATATACTTCTGTGTGCGAAAGCTATTGCTCGAATGATTGCAAAAGATGATCCATATAAAGAAGGAGAAGAAAACCATACGGTTACTTTTATAAAAATGTTTTTGCCAGAACGATTTATTAATTCAACAACAAAAGATTCATCAGAAAAATGAATATATTCCACTTCAATTAAAAATTCGAATTATTTATTAAATTGAACGTGTCATTTAGATTTTTTTTATTTGCTTGATGTCAGTATAATATATTTGATGCATCGAAGAATAACATCAATGTTTTGTATTAGGAGACTTTCGTTGCTGAGTAGAATCAAAACTGATTTATTATTATTTTTTTTTATGAATAGATATATATGATCGATCGAAAATGTCTATTATAATAAAAACAATTTTATCCTATTTCTTGAATATTCTATATATATATAATATGAACGGAACAAATACGATGCCTTAAAAAAACTTCCTCAGAACATCATAATCAAGAGTATCTTATTATTAAATTCTCACAAAAGATATTATCTAACTATTTCAAAGCAGAGACTAAAACATTTGTTTTTATTTTATATCAGCCATGCTTGCTATTACCACTGATTTATTCAATGCAAATAGAGCCTTATCATTTAAATAATACTTTTGTTTTTTTTATAAACTGTCTAAACTTCATGATTATTTCTTCTTCGATGTTATTTAATTATTGAAATAAGTTTTTGTTGATTATAAAGTCTAACTAACATAAAAAAGAATTCATATAGAATAATGAAGACATCTTGATAATAATAATCAGTGGACTGTAGTCATAAAAACCAATTTATTCGTAACGATACTTGGATACAAGTTTTTATTGACACTTGAGAAATCTTGACGAAATTCTTATTATATTCGAAAGAATATATTTAATTCAAGTTTCTTTACATTTTTAGAGTTTAAAATTTCATATTGAATACAATTATAATATTTTCAAGAACTATTGTATGAATAATAATTTAGTTAGAAATGCGAAAAATATTTTACTCTAGAAATATCTACTCTTTTATTTTTTGCTCTTTTTCTTTCTCTCTTTTTTCTTTCTACATTCCTCGGTTACCATTTTTTTTACTTACATACTCTATATTCTATCTTTCTTGCCCTATAAAGACGTATTTATTCAACTCACATACACAGACATTTATATTCAAGGTCTAGTTATTATTACATTTTAATGAGCAACAACAACCTATGGCTTTACCATTACATTCAACATTAACAGTTTCATGCGAAGAATCAGAAGAACAATCGGGACCAACAATTGTTCATAGTACAGGTGTTGGTGGTTATAAGGTTCAACCAGAAATTATTGCACTTTTACAAAAATCATGTTCAAATGATAAATTATGTGATCATGAGAAAGGTGTTCAATGTACTGATTCAGCTGCACATATTATTGAAACATTTGAACGTGCTGGCTTTACAGTAACAACTTCATCAACTGCTGGTAGTCGTAAAATGTGGTTCTTAACAAAAACAAGTGAAGGTGGTGCTGAATAAACAACAAATAAACATGAAGAAGAAGAACAACAACAATTATAAATTATATTCAAAAGAACTTCAAATATTATTATTTACCTAGTTAGAAATGTAAAAGAAAATCGTATTTATCAATAAATAATGCATAAAACGAATATACAGTATTTATTGTAATCACGATCATTATATTTTATAAGAATTTTTTTGCATGCTCTGTGAGAAAGAAGAATAAGATGATGAATTGTTTTAATCAAATTATAAAAAATGAATATGTTTGATGTTTTATGAATCAGAGAAAAGTACTGATGGATATACGAAGTATATCATCTAAATTAATTCTATTAATAGAAAGATGTTTTTATTCAAATATAAGTCTGATATTAGCTTGTGATCTACTGACAGTCAGTGTTTTACAAGTTAGATTTATCTGAAATCTAGAACCTTCTTTAGACAATGATCACTATCTCTCAATTGGTTAGATAAAAAATAAAGGCACGTTCTTTCGACTGTAGAGATAAATGAAAATAGATGCATACGCAGCCTGTCCACGTAACCGGTTGTGATTCCGTTACGCTTTTTAAAACGACTGGTTCTTCCAAATCGTCAATGAACTTAATCATCGATACTGAATCGGTTCTTCATAATGACAAAATAAGACGTGACGGAATCACGTTTTACGTGGACAGGCCATGCTAGTATTAATCTAGGTTTCAGTTTTTCAAAATGTAATGATTCATACTACGGTGCTGTTAGTCGACACAACATTTTATCGATAGCAAAACATCAAAAAACAAGTTGATTATAACTTGACACTTTTATATAAAGCGAGTGTGAATGGCGACAAAGTCATGAGCACTGACATCCACACCGTACTTTTATTTCTCTTTGATGTGGATCAAAAAAAGATGTTGCTGGAAGATTTATACGAATGTTGATCGATAAAAATGAATAATATCTTTTATTTTATTATTAAATCATTTATTTCAAATAAAATAAGCAAAAGAAATGCTACAATTACAATTATTACTTTATAAATCTTTCGTTTTATTTGTTCGAACTCGTTTTTTTTTCTGGAATAAAAATAAGAGAAAATGCCGACAATAGCAAAAAAAACGAATAAAGGATAAATTAACTCTTTATTTAATTGTCATCACTGGATATAACATGTAAGAAAATAATTTAGTCTTTAATTTGAAAATAGAGAACCTGTTGTAGCCATTTTTTGAAGAATTGAAACAAAATATTCATGTGCATGTCCATAATCAATTGATTTTGGTCCATGATCAGCACATTGAGTACTAATATCGATAAAACGTTGTAATGTCATGCATGCTTGTTCATCTGACCAACATGATAAATCTTTTATTTTTGATGAATTCGTTGCTTTTAAAAGAAGTAATGGTGAACATTCATTAAGAACAAAACGTGTTAAAATATGTTGCCAAACTGAAGTAACAAGTGCTGGTTTTGCTGTCGTTAC